TTCAATAAACCAGCTAATAATTATGGGCTCAAAGAACTGGCTATCTTTCCACTTAATACTTACGATACAGCAGCATAAGTAATTCTTCCTAAAGCACCCTTTACCTGTTGAAAATTTCCACAAGAGTATAAACATGAAAATTCATACGTTAAAGTTTGCTATTACGGACTAACTTAGAACACAGAAAAAATTAGGTATACGGAGGGAGGAAATGTTTTACGGGAGACTCTTGAACATGCTACGAAGATATACGTTATTGGAAATTAAGAAAAAAGTGTGGCTTCAAATATGTGGCTTTAAGGTCACTGATGTGACAGACTATCCACCGTTTGAATTTCCAAAATGAGTTACTACTTGCACAAATCACAGTGGCGGCTACAAATGTATGTGTGCTCTTCATAATGTGAAGTGAATGAAAGAATCTTACTTTAATATGGAATGAGTTTATGTTAATGATGATGACGATAATAATAAAGAAATATAAGAATACATTGTATTGTGTTATATTTTGAGAATCAGATGTTTAACAGAGCTATTTTATTAATCATGCTCATTTTTTGTTTAACACAAACTGATTTGAGAAAAATAAAACAAAAAATGTTAAACAATTATTTTCGTACCACTCCATATCCTACATTATTATGCAACTCGATCGCTAGCACAAAAAAAAGTACTCATGCATATCGCTACGACATGCACAAGCTGCACACGGTTTTGAACATTCAAACATCGCGCGAGAACCAGGGCTGCAGGCAACTTATAAATATTGCATTGGGCACAAACTCAAACTGCATTGCAGGTCAGCAAGTGATGCACACGTTACTACAGGCACTAATGCCCAATGCAGCACTCTTAAACTCAAACAGCGCACGCAACCAAAAGCAGGACACACAAAATAAGTGCGAGTAAGCCACAGCTCCTGCTCACACATTGGCTGCAGGAGAGGCTACTTTACTCGAAAAGAGGAATCCGCTTGCCGTGGAGAGGAAGTGGACCAAAATCGCCTGGCAACTCAAGCTCACCTGGGCTGAAGTCTCCATAGCTTATCTACTTTAAACCTTATCAGGAATATGTAACTTTCTAAGTTTTCTACTAAAAAACATTTATACGGATAATTTTATGATTGCTACAACCTTGTTAAAAGATCCAAGAAGTCTAAAAAAATATGGACCGAAATATCCACTACTTTATTACATTTTTAGTTCAATTTTCAAATCGTTTTTAAACAACCGAGTAACTAAGCGGTATGTTTCATGCGAAGTTATACCAGACAAACAATTGAGATATTGAAACAGCTATTTAATGACACATGCCCTACATAGGGTAATACAAGATGCATGGAGATACTTGCACAACTTCGAGATAATAGGAGCACGTTTTATAGACAAAGCATTTTACTTAGTTTAAATCGAAGGATTACTTTTTAAACTAACACAAAAAAATTTTTACAGCACATTATAAGGTAAAATACCCAATACTTGGACAGATTTTTCGAAACTAACGTTAACGCTCATATATAGAAGTTAATATGCAATACTTTAACATTTTTCTAATATTAACTTGTTATTAGTATGCCTTAGGGTTATATAACACATACAAAATGTTTTAAGATAGCTCTTAAATAATAGTTATCGTAAATTTCAAAACATGTCAACTTATCGGAGTAGTTAGGCAATCATTTTCGACTGTCGTAGTAGTTGGACAACCTTTTAAACCAAAAGTTGGACAATGCTGCAATACTTGGACAAGTTGGAAAGCAGTACTTGGACAATACTAACTTAAACGATTTTACAGCTGTATAAATCATGATAAGGTGCAAGTACTTATTAAAACTAACGTATACGTTAAGATAAATACCTTATAACGAAAAAAGGTTAACGAAGGTGGTAAATAATAACAAATTTATTTCTTGAGATTCGTAAATAAAATTTTTAATCTTTTTTTCAAACATAATTTATTAAATACAAGATAAATTCTTCAGGGTGCATTTTAATTTCAAATGTTCTTAATTAAGTGGAATCACACTTCTCCTTCTTGATTTGAATTTTTTTTTTGGAGAAACTGCATCTCTTCAACTGCAAAGAAATTGTCTAACTTAATTGAGTTCTCACTCAGTTTTTTCAATTGTTTTATTAGTGAGATAGTGTAAAACCAATTTTATTGACTTTTTTATTTTAGTTATTTAAGATTTATTTTTAATAAGGTCATAATTTTTCTTACTTCTCTTTTTTTGTTTTTTTTGTATGACCTCCACTTTTTTTTAATTCTTTTACTTTTTTTTAAAACATTTTTGCTCTTTCGAGAACCCAAACTTTATCTGTATTTACAGTAAATTGGAGGTTAATGTTTCAAAATATTGAAAAAACAATTTTTTTAAAGTGGTGCACCCCTTAACAACAAAACTGATTAGTACAGTGTTTTTTTCTTCAAAGTACTGCACTTTTCATACACTTTTGTTTAAAAAATTCGCATGAAAGATTAACTACGTTAAAAGGTAAACAACTTTGATTGTATGTCCACGTACTGGCGACGACGTTTTTGTGCCTATGACCTGAAGTTGGACAAGAGCTCCACGTTTGTCCAACTACTACGAATACGTGAGGTGTACTTGGACAGCTAATTTTGAATTATAAAAATGTTTTTCGTCCACGATTACATTTGAAATATTGTTCATTAATGTCAAAATTATAAAATAATACTATACAGCATGTATGCAAATGCATTAGATTAATTTTAACAGCATTACCTATTATTAAAATTTTAGAAATCGGAGAAAAATTATCGCACTTTTATGGTGCCTATGGTTAAACTAAAAATTATTCGCTCGTATTAAATTTTGCTAAAATTAATTGAAAAATTTAAGTTTATCATGAATAACAATCATAGCACTACTAATATATTACGTTTTTTTAAGTATCTCTTTTTTATTTGCTATAATGACTGATTGTTCACTGTCCAAGTATCGGTCTGAGTTTTAGTTTTGTCCAAGTATTGGGCATTTTACCTTAAATGTGTTATACAAAGCTTTTTTAAATTATGAAATATTTACAGTTAACTTTAACAGTAAGCAATCATAACGTTTTTAACTACCTGACAGCTACCAACAAGGTAAAGTTTATGTTCCAATATGCACAGTAGTGGTCTGGTAACATTATCCAACCAAATTAAGATACAAGTAAATGTACAACATTTTTCGCAGATAATCTTAAAAATTGTATAGGAGCAAAAAATTATAATTTATTTTAAAAAAATAAGTAACTTTAGTTAATAATAACCCCACAAATTAAAAATAATACTTATTAGGTTTAATCATTTATTATAAATTTAGTAAATCAAGAGAATGTAACAGAAAAAAAAGACTATAATAAAAAGATCACAAAATGTTGAAATAAATGCTCCAGTTTCAAAATCTTTGTAATCTACAATTTTTTTTTTAATTTGAGCTTATATTTTCAATTAAGGTTGATACAGTGCGTCATGACATATCCTGTAATAAAGAATTCATAAAGTTTAATATCAAAGTTATTGAATTGTTGCAACTCTCATACTTCCTCTATACTAAGATTACACTCAACAGCACACCTAGCCGTAAGATGTATTTATCGTAGCAAAAAATTTGTTGTTTTGGTACACATCTCCATAACATTTGCATTTTTTTTCAGTAAGAGTTACGAACATCGATTGCCATTAAAAAATGACTACAATATTATGATCATATTGTGACAATTCCTTAAATCTCAATTATTTTTTTTTTAGAGTTATGTGACCTCGTAATGAAAAATGGAAGCGTTCACAAAAATCATATTTAAATATTGGTAACTTTAAACAAACGTATCAGTACCTTTAAATCTTAGATAAAAATTTGTGTTCATTAAATCTATATAAGTACTAAGCAACTAACACATATTCATGCCCGTAAGACTAATAATGACGTAAAAGATATACAATACCATTGTCTTGTCGATAAACAAAGCAGTTTCAATATACTTTGCAACCTCACGAACATCTTTTTTATATCTTTTTTTTATAAGATTAGTAATTTCTATAAAATTCTTTTGCCGACGAGACTGAAGTCGCCACTCCAAATTACCAGAATTTCCACACCCTTTAGCAGTGGTAGTCCTGGTTTCAAATATGAGGTGTGGATGTTTCTGCTAAAAGATAGTTTAATATGTAGTTGTATTTTTAAATTAATTACTTTTTACTTGTTGATATTATTTTGTGCATCAAACTAAGCTTCTGCCTGAAAAACTGTTGTAACTACATGTCTACATGGACCTGCTTGTTACCTTAAAGAAAATGATTTATCATGACCTGGCAAAAATAAATACTATGGCTGCTCTTTTTATACTTTATCCTAATGTGATACAAAGACATTTATAAGAGAGAATAATTGATATTTAAAGAAAAAAGTCAGATGTTTTTTGAGGTTAAAGAATTCCTTTACCTCTTCTACGCTACATAATTAGAGTTAAAAAGGGCCGACTAAATTAAAATAAACTATTGCTACATCTTTTACAATCTTATTAATACATCTTAAAAACCGAGCTTTTTGTTATTAAATATACATTACTGTAACTGAGTCCTTATTTTAAGGTATAAAGTAATACTGCTACTTAATTTTTACAGCATTACGTTACAATATAGACAAGGAAATACAAACTGTATAGTGTTGTAGTAACAAGTACTACAAAAGTTTTTGCTTCTAATTTCCTGTGACAAAAGAAGCTTAAAAATATCATTAAAACATAATCTTACGACATTGAAATGTAAAATAAAAAATTTGTTTTGAAGTGTTGTTATTAAAACTGTTAGTTTGTTTTGCAGGTTAGCCAACAATTAAATTTTAGTAGATTCCAAATGAATATAACTTATCTTAACACCAAAAAATACATTTTTTTGCATTATAAAAATAATCTTAACGATTTCTTTTATAGCTTTTGTACATAAAAAATAACCTGATCAGTAACTTTAGTACCCAGGTGAGATGCGGAGTGAGCTTAATCAAAGATTCTTTTACGAAGAGATTTAGGAATAAAAGGACGAATTATCTTACCGGTGAGATCGCAATAAAGACTAGTGTGGCTGTGACCCAATTCAATGGGTTTTAGATTGAGAGAATGGGCAGGAGATTTCAGCAGCTCTGAGAGCTCAGAGTCCTGTTGTTGCACCTTGGCCAATTCCGGGAGCTCTAACTCAAGAGGAAGACAAATGACTTCTACTCTAGAGAGTGCATCAGCCACCACATTCGACAAACCTGGCAAGTATTCAATGGCAGTAGTAAGCTGTGAAAGAAAGCAAAGCTGTCTCTGCTGGTGAGGAGAGGCCTTGTCAGACTTTTGAATAAACGCGTAGATTAGGGGCTTGTGGTCTGAGACGACCTTAAAATTACGACCCTCTTAGAAGTGCTTAAAATATTTAATAGCTTCATAAATCCCCGTGAGCTCACGATCGTACGCACTGTAGCTTCGTTGGCTTCATTTTCTGGAAAAAAATGCCAGGGGCTTCCAGTCTCCCTCAAAGAGTTGCTCAAGGGTAGCAACTATGGCAAAATCAGAAGCGTCTGTAACGAGACGTGTTTCTGCGTCAGGAGATGGATGGACCAGGAGGGTAGCCTTAGCCAAGTGACTCTTGGTGGTTTCAAAGGCTTGCTTGGCTTCTGGAGACCAGTCAATGACTCTCTGATCGTTTTTCTTTGAATCAGCTGTGTAATCAAAAAGAGGATCCTGTGCGGAGGCTGCCTGAGGAAGCCAACGACGATAAAAATTGACCAGCCCTAGGAATCTGCGAAGATCTGCAACTCTGACCGGCAAAGGAAAGTCGAGGATGGCCTCTACCTTCTCTGAGCAGGGCTGAGAACCCTTGGAAGAGACAAGATGACCAAGGAAAATAAGCTCAGTTTTACCAAACTCACATTTAGGAACATTCAGTCTGAAGCCGAACTATTTTAATCTTGCAAAGATTGTACGAAGGTGCTCTTCATGTTCTTTGATGGAAGAAGATAAGATGAGCACGTCATCAAGGTAAACAAAAGCGAAGTCAAGATCGCCTAAAGCCTGGAAAATGTATCTCTGAAAGGACTGAGATGCATTACGGAGCCCAAAAGGCATGAAAACATATTCGTACAGTCTGAACGGAGTGGTAACAGCTGCCTTAATCATGTCCGTTGGTGCAACTGGTATTTGATAATAAGCTTTAAATAAGTCTAACTTAGAGAAGATACTTTTTCCAGACAGACGAAGCAAATAGTCAAGCATGTAAGGAATGGGAAATCTGACGGGGACCGTTTGGGCGTTTTAACGGCGATAATCGCCACAAATGCGCCAAGTCCCATCCTTTTTTTGACCATGTGTATAGGGCTAGCCCAGGGGCTCTTTAAGACTCTGCAAACACCTTGCTTGACCAGGGTCTTGAATACAACCTGAGCGGCTTTAAACTTGACTGGGTCCAAGCGTCGTGGACGCTCGTGAACCGGAGGAACAGTCGTTTCAATGTAGTAAAAAATATCTTTAGCCAATATAGGTTCAGCAGGCTTGCTACCCGTAATCTCTGGAAAATCAGAGAGAATCTTCGACCAGGAAGAAGATGGATCAAAAAGACTGACTTTGAAGTAAGAGCAACTGGTAATTCCCCCAAAAACAAAAGTGTTAGAGAACGGGTCTATAATTCTACGCCTGCGAACATCCACAATCAAGCCATCGGAGTGCATGAGGTCAGCTCCGATGATAGGGTAGGGTACATCAGCAACTATAAAGTTCCAGGAAACTGGGCAATTAAGTCTGAGGCTAAGAGTCAGCTTGATTTCACCATAGGTGTTGATAAAAGTGTTGTTTGCCGCGTGGAGTTTAAAAGCAGAGGGACCAGTGTCTGAGTCAGCCTTTGGGACTACTAAAACGTCAGCACCAGTGTCAATAAGAAAAAGTTTACCCGAGTTTATGTCCCGGATATGGAGGCGTTTAGAAGCAATTGATGAGTTATCCTCTCTCAAAGCCTCCACTTGAGGAGAGTGATTTAGTTTCCCGAGTCAGAAGGCTTGGGCCAAGAGCAGTTGCCCTTGCAGTAGTGTGCCTTATCTCCATATTTATTGTGGAGGGCACACAAACCATTAGAAGGTACTGAAGAATCACCAGAAGACTTGGCATCCTGCCCAGCCGTTCTATTTTTCAAACGACCACGAGATTTACAATGAGAGTTTTTCTCTAGCCTGTCAAGTCTTGAACTCATTTGAGTTAACATTTCTTGAATTTTGCTAAGCGAAGAACTAACAGCATTGACACTGGGAGATGAAACCTCAGCACCAAGGGTTGAGATCTGGTTGAAAGATCCAGCTGAATCCATGTATCTGTCTGCAGCCGCGGCCAACTTCGACAACGAATCAATATTGTGGATTGACAGTACGAACCGACAAGGCTCGGTAAGCTGCTCAAGAAAGACAGATCTGAGAACTGCTTTCGAAGGACCCGACTGCAAGGACTTCATCCTGTCTAAAACTGTTGAAGGTTTCCCATCGAGAGAGACCTGGCCCCGAAGTAGCTGTCTGAGACGTTGCTCAGGTGAGCCACCATACCTATTGATCACTTTCCTCTTAATCTGTTCATAAAGGTTAGCCGGGCGAGGATCTTCATTCAGAAGGTCCATGACACAAGCGACAGTGTCCATGTCGAATTTCTCTGCCGCAAAATCTGCCTTCGTAGAGGAGACTGTGATTTTGGCATTGCGAAAGGCAATTTCTGCCAAGGAAAACTACGCGAGAGGATTGGCACGATCAAAAGTAGAAAGCTTGGGAGACTTATATGCAGCTCCCTGTGGAGTACCCTGAGTTGCAGGCACCTGCTGCTGAACTTCAGCCAGCTGAGCCCTGAGAGCTTCCATCTCAACCTTTATTTCTTCCAATGATGAAGCCATGGTTACGAAAATCAGAGGAATATTCAGCCCTCAGAATGCCAGCGAAAAGAAAACACTGTAAAAGAATGCACACCGAAGGTCCAAGTTCTACTCTGGGAGTCTAAGGAATTCGCAAAAGCTAAACTACGCAACAGTTCCACTTGTATAAAACTCACGCCTGGTCTGTCCACGCAGAAGCAGCAAAAATTGTAAAAATAAAAAATGTTGACCTGCAAAAGCTAGATAAGGACACCTGTGCGCTGTAAATAGGCTGGCCACAGGTTTTCAACCTAGCTGGAATCAGTGCTAATGTAACAAATAATTAAATGTACTTGCAGGTACCAACGTCAAAATTAATGAGCCACTGATTCAAATTGTAAGTGGTGTAGTGTGCTTGCTAGCTATAAAGAGGCTACAGCAAACACAAAGATTACAAAAAAAAAGAAAATGTTACTGCGACGAAAACAATGAGCAGTAAATAATATTACTCTAATGATTATACAGGTCACAAAGTACAAACCACTACTATCTAACTAAAGTAATTGGTTACAAAAATTTAGCGGCTAAGGAAAGAGGTAAGAGGACACCTGTCCCTTCATCACGTCTTAACCTACGTAAGCACTTAAACCTAGTCACTCAATGTCACTACAAAAGTTATTAATTTAAAACTTATTTACTTTTATGTAAAACGTTATACTTGCTTGCACTGTCCACATACTATACCACTATTGAAAGGGCGTGGAAGAGGACGCAGCAGGAACGGCGACGATGGCAGGGCGTGCAAAAGCACGCAGCAGGAACGGCGACGATGGCAAAGCGTGTAAAAGCACGCGGCAGCGACAGTGACGATGGCAAAGCGTGCAAAAGCACGCGGCAGCGACAGCGACGGAGAAGGTGTGTTTAACACGCAGCATCCCGAAGAACAGGCGTATAGTGCGTATACCAACACGCAACAGTTCCAGGAAAAGCTGCACCGTCTCTCCTTGCTGTGCCGATGGTTAGAGACAAAGGGAGCTTCCAAGATGGCCACCGTCTGCCAGCAAAAATCTCACCTCTCGAACGTCGGGGTCACCAATATGGGATTATGTCCGTAATGCCGAGGTAGACTCTGGGATCAGGACGGGCTCTCATAAGCCCAGGAGTTTAGTCGAGAAGGAGAAATCAAGGAGCCAATTCGTAACTGCAACAATAGTGAATTTATTGACTTAGTAACTCGTGAGGCGACTGCCCTGACTCGCAGTCGTACAAAGAAGAAGGAAAACATAGTGAGCGGGTAGACCGCTACAATGAAGAAGCGCTGCAATCGCAAGCAAGCGCGGAGGACGGAGTCGGTACTGCAGAGCTCTGAGTCCCTACAGGCTTTGCGCAACAGCGCCCTCTGTTGTTAAGTGTCAAGATGATAAAGAGCTCTAGAAAAGGTGCCGTGTTTTTGACCAAAACGGAAACGTGACTTTGCTATCATTACAATGATACAATTAGAACTTTCTTTTTGAGATTTGTACAGTTTTGCAACATAACAAACAATTTTTTATTTTTTGCAAACGGTAAAAAATTTACTGTACGATCCTTTTTTTAAATGATTTTCAAAACACACCAAATTCAATTATAATCTGTGGCACGAATCACACTTTTTTAATGAATCCATCACATCGCAAAGAGGAGGTTGCATATACTTGTAGCATTTGTTTTAGCATCTGTAATCCTCGATACACCAATAACTCTTATTGCATGGTATACAGTATCTACAACTACTGCTCGCACTGATCAAATTTAGTATAGGCTCGTTATGCTCAGCATTTTCGTAATAAGTGAACCGTAACGTATGAAATATTAGTTCTTAAATTTTTAAGACTGAACGAGTACCATCATACGGGGGCCTATGACGATGCCCTAAATTTTTGAAAAGAATAAACGACGATCATTATTTTGTTAGTAGGAAGAAAAATTTTTGAAAGTTGTCAAAATCTATAAGACCAAATCCTGTATTAAGTTCACAAATTTTGCCAAAAGCAAAAACTTTTTAGCAGCTCTCTTTTCAGTGGATCCGTAATCCCGTCTTATGAGGTTCCAATCATTATGTATTACACCTGTGCATATTTGTCCCTAGACAATGTAAGCGTAAGCAGCTGCTAGAGCTCATGGTAAACAACGATTATCATTGTTATTGATGGTTAATATTAATTTTTTCTAACTTTATTTTTAATTAAGACTACATATCGTTTCTCACTAAGGCCATTCATAATAGCACAACTGATTAATAAACTATTATTGATTCCAAAGTTACTGAAACTCTGCATGATACTGAGCAAAACCTCCCATAAATTTTTAAGAATAAGACAGCAAATAAGTCTAAAAGATACCTATAATGGGCCGCTATAACAAATTTAGAAACTCATAGTAACATCTATAAATTCTTCAGGATTACTTCCTTCAACCAAATGATAATGTTAATTATTGATGCAATCCTGAAGCCATACGTACAAATTAACGTTTGAAGACGGTCTAGCCAATGTACCCTCATTTTCTTATCCTTTATAATTAAACTGACAATAAAGTCTAGTTGTTATGTTTTTGATAATAAAACGTGGATCTTGCTCTGCACGATTCTGCAACAGTAATTTAAAAAAACCAGTGGACAGTGGGTGCTTAGGTACCCAAGAAAAAAGTTATACTTCTTTAAAATTATATGGCGGATAATATAATTATTTATATAAATATAAATTTTATGAAGAGATATTTTGTATAAAGGTAGTGCAACTATCATTGGAATGAGTATAGCTACGTTGGTTGGATATGGTTTCAATGAATATTCTAATATTTAATAACTAAAACATTATAAACAATATTATAGCATAATACAATCCAAAATATACTAAAAGTACCATAAGAAATACCCAAAAAAAATTGTAGATTATTTAACTGTACCCTCTTTTACATGTTTCATTTTAAAAATTTGCGATTTAACATGTAATCTAAAGGGAGAATTACTTAAAACTACATTTATAAAATCTGTTTGGAACTCCTTTTTTTTTTCGTATAAAAGATTACTTTTAGATAAACCTGTTTCATTTTTAAATAGATCCATTTTTTGTTTACTAACACAAAAAAGAAGGGATCTAGTATGCGTTAAAACACGTATGTAAGCTGATCCATAAAAAAAATAATTTCTAGCGTTGTTGCATATATTTGAGCTCCTCCCACCTCTCTGAATTTTGTTCTCAATCACAAAGGAAATTTTGTGAAAGAAGAAAACGCAATAAAAATCAATTTTATTTATATGGTACTGTAACTTACGATATGCAAGGCATATCATACTGACTCTCCCGGGTAAGAGCAAGGAGTTATCCTCTCTCAAAGCCTCCACTTGAGGAGAGTGATTTAGTTTCCCGAGTCAGAAGGCTTGGGCCAAGAGCAGTTGCCCTTGCAGTAGTGTNGTACGCACTGTAGTTTCGTTGAGCTTGGCTAAATTTTCTGGAAAAAAATGCCAGGGGCTTCCAGTCTCCCTCAAAGAGTTGCTCAAGGGTAGCAACTATGGCAAAATCAGAAGCGTCTGTAACGAGACGTGTTTCTGCGTCAGGAGATGGATGGACCAGGAGGGTAGCCTTAGCCAAGTGACTCTTGGTGGTTTCAAAGGCTTGGTTGGCTTCTGGAGATCAGTCAATGACTCTCTGATCGTTTTTCTTTGAATCAGCTGTGTAATCAAAAAGAGGATCCTGTGCGGAGGCTGCCTGAGGAAGCCAACGACGATAAAAATTGACCAGCCCTAGGAATCTGCGAAGATCTGCAACTCTGACCGGCAAAGGAAAGTCGAGGATGGCCTCTACCTTCTCTGAGCAGGGCTGAGAACCCTTGGAAGAGACAAGATGACCAAGGAAAATAAGCTCAGTTTTACCAAACTCACATTTAGGAACATTCAGTCTGAAGCCGAACTATTTTAATCTTGCAAAGATTGTACGAAGGTGCTCTTCATGTTCTTTGATGGAAGAAGATAAGATGAGCACGTCATCAAGGTAAACAAAAGCGAAGTCAAGATCGCCTAAAGCCTGGAAAATGTATCTCTGAAAGGACTGAGATGCATTACGGAGCCCAAAAGGCATGAAAACATATTCGTACAGTCTGAACGGAGTGGTAACAGCTGCCTTAATCATGTCCGTTGGTGCAACTGGTATTTGATAATAAGCTTTAAATAAGTCTAACTTAGAGAAGATACTTTTTCCAGACAGACGAAGCAAATAGTCAAGCATGTAAGGAATGGGAAATCTGACGGGGACCGTTTGGGCGTTTTAACGGCGATAATCGCCACAAATGCGCCAAGTCCCATCCTTTTTTTGACCATGTGTATAGGGCTAGCCCAGGGGCTCTTTAAGACTCTGCAAACACCTTGCTTGACCAGGGTCTTGAATACAACCTGAGCGGCTTTAAACTTGACTGGGTCCAAGCGTCGTGGACGCTCGTGAACCGGAGGAACAGTCGTTTCAATGTAGTAAAAAATATCTTTAGCCAATATAGGTTCAGCAGGCTTGCTACCCGTAATCTCTGGAAAATCAGAGAGAATCTTCGACCAGGAAGAAGATGGATCAAAAAGACTGACTTTGAAGTAAGAGCAACTGGTAATTCCCCCAAAAACAAAAGTGTTAGAGAACGGGTCTATAATTCTACGCCTGCGAACATCCACAATCAAGCCATCGGAGTGCATGAGGTCAGCTCCGATGATAGGGTAGGGTACATCAGCAACTATAAAGTTCCAGGAAACTGGGCAATTAAGTCTGAGGCTAAGAGTCAGCTTGATTTCACCATAGGTGTTGATAAAAGTGTTGTTTGCCGCGTGGAGTTTAAAAGCAGAGGGACCAGTGTCTGAGTCAGCCTTTGGGACTACTAAAACGTCAGCACCAGTGTCAATAAGAAAAAGTTTACCCTACAATTTTTTTTTTAATTTGAGCTTATATTTTCAATTAAGGTTGATACAGTGCGTCATGACATATCCTGTAATAAAGAATTCATAAAGTTTAATATCAAAGTTA